CAAGTGTCGTTAATTTAAAATATTCTTTAAAAGTATCGCGTTCTAAAACAAAAATAATTTTAATATTTTTGTTATTTGGTGTGTTTAAATAACACTGTTTTAACATTATTGTCATTTAAAAAAAGTAATTATTAGTATTTTATTATTATATTATTATGTTAAAATCAATATTATTAATGGTAAAATAATATTATAAATATAGTTTATAATCAACTCTAACATCTAGACAATTTAAATTGTTATCTATATAACAACTACATCAATTATATCACATATAATCATTTTATTGATCATTCACTAAACCAGTGTGTTTCTGTTTATAAAAATTAAATGCTTATTTGTTTTGTTTTAAATTTGAACTATATGTTTTCAGTCAAAACGCGCTTTATTACAAACACTATGTACCTTCCATAATGATAACATTATAAAAAAAGGTGATTATACCATTTTTGTTATAATTATACATAAAATACAATTTAGTTTTAATTACACAACATTGTTATATCAATGTGATCACTTATCACTTCGATGAAATCACGTTGTAGTAAAGATACGTTTATTATGTGTTATTGTGTCAAAATTATGTCTGTTGATTGTTACTATAATATATAACAATTATAATTATAAAACTATTATAAATAACATAATAAATTATTAATAATATATTAATTTATTTTATTATAAATTATAGTTTAAAGTGTTATCTTTGGTATATGTCGTGTAGTCTTTACACTTGTGTTTTTTTGTTTTTCATTATCTCTATACATTTACTATAAGTTTTTTTGTTTGTTGCCCAAAAATGCATAATTTAAAAATGAATAAAGAGTGGCTGCAAAATAAACATTTATTTACCAAATACAAATCTTTATATTCTGAATAGAATGCATAAAACACGTTTTGCCTTTTGTTTTTGTTTGAAAATGATAAAAAATTCAAATTACAAACAATGAATTCATATCTTGCTTCCTCGACAGTGGCACGACGTGAAACTCAACAAGTGATCACAAAACTTCGTGGTGATCAAAGTTTATTTTAATGCGATTACTTTTATTGTTAAAGTTGATTTTATAAATTTTTCTCGATTTTGCGATTTTTGATGTTTTTGAAAATGTATTTTAGATATTTTTTGTTTATTTTACACTTATTTTCTTTAAGATTTATTTTTCAAAGTCGGAACAAACAAAAGTGTCTTTTCGTCTTATCTTATTTCTTTTACAAAAAATAGCAAAACCCAATTTTTTAAATTATTGTATTTTTCAAAGTTTACAAAAAATCTATTTAATTTCCCTTGTAATTGTTTTTGAGATCAATTGCATATTGAAATTTCAAGACACCTCAAAGTCTGTG